AAATTGACAGCCTGTAATCCTGTCCAAGATGAAGCAGAAAAAACGTAAGGTACACGACATAAGAAAAAAAAAAAGGTACACGAGTTAAAAGCTACAGAAGTTATAATGTTAAAGTCTGTGGTTAACTCCAAATTCATGGATTCACTTCACAGTTATTCCACTAATAAATCCATATGTCCTCGACCCCTATCATCAACAGACATTTGTATGCTCCTTGTTTTGATTTTTAATGGTTCTCTTCCTTAATTCAGCCCCTAAAACCAGATTACCATGTTCATACAAGTGAATCTAGGCTTACCTATCTGATCCTCACAAGTGATTAAGAAGGAACAAGACTACAAACAAGCAAGAAGCAAAGATGTACATATACTGTTACACTATATTGTCTTTGAATGTTTAAATCAAATTTTTTTAAAGTTTATTTTTACTTTTTAAAAAAGATAGTTTCTTATATTAATACCTCAGACCATAATAACTGATACAACTGATACCTCTTTCAGTTTATAAACCACTGCCCCTTGTCCTTTCAATAGCTAAGGCCAAGATAACACAGAAAAAGTAAATGCCTCTATATACAGTATACACAATTCAAAAAATCTTTTTATAACAGAAAGAATGTTAAGTTTTTAACAATGACTTTTATTAAAGTTGTGGTACAGGAAACAGTCAATTAAGATTCAAACTTACAGACTGTAGGCAGTACTCCTGTCTTTACATCAGTTTCATGATAGTAAAATTTACAATCTTAATACATCTTTCAGAAAAGCAGTCTCACTGTGATTCCACACACTCCCAGGATGCTGCTCAACTATCTTCTGAATCACATTCCCAGGTCACCTTTAGCTTAACACTTTGGTCACAGCAGTAGGCAAGTTTTCACTAGATTTTGTTTATGAATGTTATTTACAGAATCAAATAAGCTGTCAGATAGACACAACCTACAGAGATACTGCATTCAGTCACTCACAGAAATGCAGGGCATCATTAGTTCATGAACTTCCTAAAATGGAGGTTACATCCTGATCACTGTTCAATACCTGTTTTCCTTTTATTTTGCCTAATTACTTTTGGAACTCATTCGGGTAGTAAGCCATAATGCACCAGGGCATTTCTATGCATGATTGACAGGTATCATGAAAAGAAATGCTACCACATTCACTGCAGATCCTCTGCCTAGCAATTTAACTGAATGCCCCTGAGTTTCTATCTGCTGAAGAATAATGATTCAGTCTACATTCTGTTGTCACTTTCCAAAAGCAGCAGCCCATAATATGTTTTGACTCTCCACATGGAAGTTATATGGTAATCACTATGTTTTCTACATATCCTGTAAGACAGAGGTAAAAATGAAGGTAGGTCTCTGCACCAGTAAAGCTGGTACCTTTACTTCTTTTTAGCTTCCTGGGCTTACACATAAGAGTAGAAAAGATAGACATGGCAGCTGTCTGTTAAGGATCTAGAGGATTCAGCCCCTAGCCTTGGTTGATTTTACATGATATTGCTAATAAATGGCACCAGAAACTGTCTTGAGAAGAATAACATCGCATTTGTGCAGAGCAGCGTGATCAATGGCAGTCACTAGCCATGAGCAGCTAACAGGGTTTTTCGCTTAAGGCTGAACTTCCCTGCTGCACTGCTTCCTCAAGCAACAGAAATTGCTCTAGTTCTGTGAAATGCAGAGAAAGCTTTCACCTGTGTGAGTTTGGCAGTAAGTACTCAGAAAATTCACTGGAGATCTGAATGTGTAGGCAGTGGTCAAATAAGGAACAAAATACAAAGTATTTACAATGAAAATTTTGTTTTGAGACACCTGTGGTGTAGTTGAATGTCAACATCAAATTGCTTCTACAAGCTTTAGAAGAAACATGAAAGGATGGAGTGGGAGGTAATAGAAAGGAGGGTCAAATTAAGTTATAATCTTTTTTTGTTCTCAGATTAATTTGACAGTTTTATACTTCTACATGCCCCCATCATATCAAAATTAATTGTGTTTCAAGGTAAACCAAGAAAGCATCATAGTAAGGAGATTTTATTTTGCTCCTTAAATAGAAGAATAAGGTTGAACGTTGTTATAGAAAATGAATGCATCTCATACACTGTGGGTCCTTTATTTTTAATTCTCTTGTAAGTTAAAGCCATATTTTTGTTGCTTGTAAATGTTCCCTTCCCCAACAGAATAAAAATTGAATACAGTGGTTATAACAGACCATTTTATTTCTAAAGAAAGTATTTAAGCACACCAAAAACAACTTTTTGCAACTTTGTGAGGATACTGCATGAACATTATGGGCAATAGGGAACAGCCGCATTTTGTCCTGAGCTACTCTTTATCAGTTGAGTCCAGAACTGAGCCAACAAGTAGTTTTAAAGCAGTAAGAAGAGAGAGCAAAACCTGTGACTCAAAGATAAACCCTAGTCTAGGTTTATCTGAGAAACAATGAAAATGTAGCTAACGAGGAGCAGCTTTTGAGTCAACTTTCCTCTCAATGTAGAATTAATACTGGTAATGTTTCTGTTCTGTGAGTGACCATGCAACTAACTGCCTCAACTCTGTGACAGTCACAGGCAGCATCCCAGGTCCCTCACACCAAGTATCTTAAGGACTGTTCAGGTGTCTTAGAAACATCAGCCCACCCCTGAGTGAAAGAAGAGACAGAAGCAGGGCTTAGGTGTAGACACCTAGAAAAGGCATGAACAAGGCAGGATACAGTGGTTCTTTCCCAGGATACCCTTCCAGCTGCCAGAAACCTAACACTGGGGAGCTCTGTGAGCCAAAAATGGCATATCTCTGTCTAAAAATCTTCAGGTTTCTCCCACAAATCCACTCTCTGATACTTTCCGAACACAAAACTTCAAACCAGAACAACATGTGCCCACAGGGGCCAATGAGCTCCATGGCTTGAACACCATCCACCACACTGTTAGGTTACTTTAGTCCCTCTTTTAAAGCTGCCCCTTTCCCAGTTTGATCAGATGCCCCTCAAGAGCCACGGTGCCGGGGGGTCCTCATTCACTCCTCACCTCCTTCTCCACTTCTCTCTCCACAAATACCAAGCCTGAAGGGGAATAATTTAGGTAATCTCTCACTCACAACACACATCTGCAAGTTCTAAGTTGATGAGGCTGCCTGGAGAGAAAGACCCTCTCCTGCCCGCACCTCTCCTGTAACCCATCTGCCTTGATCAGAAAGAGTCCCAGAGGAACAGGTGTGGAAAGAGACCTGAGATGGACAACCATCACCGAGATGGGCAGTAAATATCATACAGTGCACTCGAAGGACAATACCAGAGTTACACTGAGCTGGTTGGTGGGACAGAAGGGTGGCGGTAAGGGCTGAAGAGCTATTTCAGGTACCCGGCTGAGACAGGCTGCGCCGCGCACACGGGCTGCCCCAACCCCCGAGAGTGCCCACCAGGGCCCTCCCCATAACCTGTCGGCGATGAAAAGAAAACTAGAGCAGGACCCCATCCCCTTACCTCCTCCGCCGGGCGCTCCGGGCTGCTCTTCGCAGCCCCTGCCATGGCTCAGCGGTCAGACACCCCCCGCCCAGCACCTGCGTGCCCGGGGCGGGGCGCGGATGGAAGGCGAGGGACAGCGCATGGCGCCGTCCCCCCGCCCTCACTCAGCGCCTGGAGGGGCAAAGCCTGCTGCTCTCCAGGCTCGGGAGAGGGCATTCTCCGCTGGAGGAGCTCTCTCGTCCGCCTCGTATCACGGCTGCCCAGCCGAGACCGCGGAGCCGGCAGCGGCAACAGCCCCTCCGCCTTAGTCCCTCCGTGCCACCTCCACTGTAGAGAGGAGCAAGGCAGCTCCTCGCTTTTGCCTGGGGCGGCTGCCGCCGCGGGAGCTGCCCGCGAGGTAAAACCCTGGCTTTACTGCCCTGTAAGCCTGCTAACCGCCACAGCACCCGCCCCGCCGGTCCCCTCAGCGGCACCGCGGCTCCCCCCTCGCCCCGCAGAGCAGTGCGCCCTCATCGGGTGTGAAGGCTCCTGGGGCTGTTTTCACCCAAAGTATAAAAATACCAGCTCTGCTCTTTAAAGAGATGCAGTTTCCTGACTGATGTGAATTTATAACCACGCCAGCCAGCAATGCTGTCGTCTGTCGACTGGACCCGAGATCACACAAACCCACACTTGGCCCAGGAAGCAGCCTGCGGAAAGAGCTGCTTCTGCTGCCTTCGGGGGCTGTGGAGCCGACACTCTTCTTCAGGCAGCAAAAGCTCATCACCCGACTGCCCACAGGAAAAGGGTCTTGTAAGCATGCTCCTTATCAAGGGAAAAAAAACAACTGCATTTTGAAGTGTGAACTCTTTCAGCAGCGAGACAGCCTGGGAAAAGGTGGGTTAAACTAGCCAACAAACACCCAGGGACTGGTGATCTACTCAGTGTCTGATCTATAAGCTTCTGGGCTAGGCCGAAAGAGCTCTCTGCTATTGACAGGGGTTGCTCTGGTATTGGACAGACAGTGCAAACTACACCATGAACTACTAATATGCAAATCCTGGACAAAATCATTTGACAAGAATAATTACAAGAAAAATTGTGAGATTCTTAAAGAACAAGGTGTTTAAAAAAAGTTAAAATAAATCTTAGAAATAGACCTTTAACACAAAACCAAAATTGTGGCCTTAATAGGCCTTGTTGAAAACTGAAGCTTTTGTGGCTCCAAAGGGCCTCTGAAATCTGAGGCTCCAAAGCAGAGGTGGACTGGTCAGTCTCTTGACCCCAACATTTCTTTTACAATACCAAGCTAGATACAAGGTATGTATGCATCTAACATTCATATTCAACATTTAGGATCTTCATGTTCTCTTCACACAATGTCCTCACAAGATGTTAAATCTTTGTTACCTGCATCTGGAAAAGGAAAAAGAAGAAAACCTGGAGAAAACATTTCCTTTCTTTCCTCTTTTCTAGGCTATTTCAATTTTGCTGTAAATTACATTAAATACATAGGATTTACTCAAAACACTGAAAGCCTGTGAGAAACAATAACTGATAGCATTTGTGTGTTTCACAAACTCAAGCACTGATCAGGCTAGTTTTACTGTTGTTTGACCAATGCACAATAGCTGTCTACAGCACTAAGCAACAGATTAGGCTGTCCAGGCACTACAGGTAGCCAGGCACTACTGAAACCAATTAGATTTAGGAGAGCCCTGTATTGATTCCAAAGATTTTCTCCAAATTAGTGAGTTATCCAATCACAGTTTGTTGCCTTTTTTTTTAAAGGCACTTTCTAGCCTGACAGGAATTAGTGCAGTCAGCATCACTCCTGTTTTTTTTTGAAGATTCACTCTCATTTTGTAATTAAGATCATGACACTTTCAAACTGCAATTACATAGAACTACACCAAAGCTGTAGCCAAAACCAGCCTATTTCAGTAAAGCACAATAGCTAGCCAGCCAAACTACCCAGTCTCTTATGATACTGGTAGCAGACATGAATCAGTGTTGAAATACTGCTCCTTTCCAAAACTATGACTTTTGATAACAAGCAAAATGGATTTACCTATGTTAAAATTTGACACTTCCCCTCCTTATCAATCTTACACTAATTACTCCTTTGAATTTCTATGCTATAAATTCAGGAATAGTACATTACTTTGACCAGCATATACTAATTTGACTATGACTAGCTTGAATTGTATATTATTTTGACATTTCATGCACCTTTTAGATAAGAACAATTGAGTTCACAATCAAGTATGTAAGGTTTTCCAGTAGTTTTACATTAAGACAAATTCAAAAGCACCGATTAACAAAATTCACTGTTCTGGAAGTTCTACAGACTGAGGGTTAGATCCATGTCTGTGAGTGACTTGTCTCTTCAATTTTACTAGCAGATTTGTCTGCACATTCCTTCTATTACTAGAGATCTGGTAGGCTTTACATATAGTAGAGGAGTCAGTGCAAGAACAAAGAAAATCTACTTGGGTTATTTGCTACATAAACCTGAATGACACAGCAGCACATCAACTTTATAGCACTCAGAACAGTTAACTGCATAGGTTTCCGGGATTTGCTTTCTGAATACACTGAATAGGCATTTGTGCAGTTGTCTTTCATTTCACTGCACTCAAACATACCTGGAGAGATGATGAAGCAAAGTTTTTACATCCCTGGGAATGAAGCAAGCACATGTCTAGTTTGAAGTAACAGAACTTTTATGGAATTCAAGTCAGTCCAATTAAATAACTTTTCTATTTAGAACAAAACCAGGAAATCTCAAACCCATCTTTCACTTAACAATGCAAAAGAATTACAACCCCAACAATCATCCATTTGCATAAGTAGCACAGACTAGACAGCACTCATTGAAGTCTTACTAGAGACTCTAGTTCCATTCACAAACCCACATGCTACTTGGCAAACACAGTACAAAATGTTTAATCTTTATGTTGATATCTCCTTTAGCAAAACATGGAATAGTTGACTACAGATTTTATGCCTCAAGTACATGAATACCAAAATAATCAATTTGGTTTGAAATGGGGCAGGGGGAATGAGGGGAAGAGGAAAGAAACCTCAGTTTTCAAATAAGGATTTTCAACGCCTTTGACACTTGGCCACATGCAATTATTGTCTCAGTTCAGGACACAGGTAGATACATAGCATGAAGCCAACTACATCTGTCTAAACCACTGTTCTGTACGGTAATCTCCACAAAAGCTGGAGTTTTTGTGCAACAAGGCTATAAAGGTGGATTTCTATCCTAATGAGCTAGGTAGTTTAACATCACAATCTCTAAGACACTCGTAGCAGCACAAGAACGGCAGAAACCCTCTCTACCACTAGTACTAGTAATAACAATTCCTTCAGAACTCTCTTTGAGGCACTTCATATGCAGTATGCGCCAGACTACCTCATTTCTATCTTCTCACACATGTACCTACCACCATGTGAAGACCTGACAGAACATTACACTGCAGATCTTGTGAAAAAGTTAAATCCTGAAGATACGGAAGGTTTACAAGTTAGATAAGAGTTCAAATGTAAGCTTTCCTGAACATCTGTTTGCCTAAAAGTTACTGTGAGAAGAATGCAAACTGCAGCAGCTTACTCTAAAATGTAAGTGAAACAATCGGTTCAGTCTCACTGTTCAAAGTGCAAAAATAAATACTATTTGTTCCTTAAAAGGTGCTGTCAGTAGTAATTAAGTCTCAGAGAACTGTTCCACTTAAATATACTCACTAAAGAACTTAGAAACGTTCTACCTAAGGAAATTATAAGGATGACCTGTTCCGCAGTTACCTCTGCTACATTATAGCCAGTCTCTGACCACCAAATTTAGTTTAAAATACTTCTATTACAGCAAATGATAGCACAGCACAAATTTTGCTCTCTAAGAGCACAGTACAGGAGGATGAGAGTGCATCCAGATATTGCTGGTTACATTTTTGGTTTTGTCTAGTTCCACCTGCATGCAGGTTTTGGCCAGTTAAAAGCTAATTTGATCATGTACTTTTGATAGTGGTTTTTTGATCATTCTTGAGCTGTCCATTAGGTGTAGCAGCAGTTTTATAGTCATTGTCAGGTGTTTTCATCACTAAGAGCCTGAAAGGTTCAGTTGTTTTCCGAAGTCTCTGAACAACAACTGCATTTTGCAACTTTGCTTCCTCTAGCGTGAGTGTCTCATCTTGCAGCTCTCGAAATGGCAGCGAAGTAGTCAGCGTAAAGGGGACACTTCCCTCTGATCCTTGATACTTTGTTATGAAGTCTCTGACATGGCTTATTCTGAGAAGAAAGAAAGAGAACTCAGCATTAGAGCACTCCACTGCTAACACAGACCATATGCACAACACACACTCACCACAAAAAGAGAATGAGACAACCACTTCATGAAATAGCTGATGGCGCAGAAATGGAGGAGTATAGATGGATGGAATCCTAAAGTGCCTGATCCACTTGGGAGGCAATGACCAAGGTTCGTCTGATCTAAGAGCATTCCCAAGGGAAAAAAGGATGAGTATCTTACTCTGAGCTCTCAAATGCTTCCCTGTGGCTCAGATTGTAGTTACACAAGCCTACCATATCTTAACCAGCTGGTGGAGCCCTTACCTGAGGTTTCTGTAGCTAAGAGGTAGATTTTAAACATATGCCTCCAGTGTGTGGTAAATGTAGCAGAACCCTAACACTAGAAAAAAAAAAAAGTTTGCAAAAATTGTTTGGATAGCTTATCTAGGTCTAAATACAGTCTCCTTCAACCCAAGCAGGTGCATCAGTGAATTCATTACAGATTCAAGCTGCCTGTTGTGAAGAACCTTGCAACAACTGAGCAAGACCAAGGTTTTGCTATGAAGAGTCAGGACTGACCAATTTAACTAGAAAATGAAGATGACAGGCTACATCTATATCAGTAAAATAAACATACTGTCAATGGTCGTTCCCTCATCCTGAGGCCAGCTGACAGCTTCCTGCTACTGATAAATTATTAAACTCATCCGTCCTCTCCCCCATGCACAGGGTAGCCAATGGGGTTTACTGCATCCTGGAATACTCAGTGACCTGAGCTAAGATCCAAACCAAGCCTAGATATCACTTAAGAAACTGCTAGTTGGCTTGGGCAAAACCATCCTAACAGTTAGGCAGCACAGATGACCTTTATGGTTTAGCCACACTTCCTAGGCCAGAAGGTTTTAATTCCTGTGCATGCAGGCCTCAATCAAGAGACAGCGTTTGGTGCATGTACGCCTAAAGCTGAAAAACCTCAAGCAGGAACAGATTTTGGTTTTGACATTTACAGGTGTTTACATGCAATGGTATCGAAGTTGCAGCTCAGACAATTGGCTGCCAGCTACCTCCTTTAGGATGGACAAGTTCCTGTTCATGCTCCATAGCTGATGCTCCAGGGTCACACTAACTTCGCAACTGCTTAAGGAAGAACACAGCTCAACTCAAGACAGTGCTAGGTGTTCTGTTCCTACAGCACAGCTCTGCTGGTTGCTTTACTCTCATGTCTCCTTGACTCCCCATACTACAGCCCAATGCTGTAACATCAGTCTTTCCTCACGAACCAAGTCTTATCTAAAGTAGCAGTTACTGTGGCACATACACACTCTATTTGTAAAAAGGTAGAAGTAATCTATGTACTCAGGCACTGCAATATATATATATATGCTACAGGTTATTGACCTATAGTTTAATTAACAAAGAGTTGACTGTTTTCTGCTTCTCCGTGGAAAGGAGTGCTACAGAGACAACCGTAATGCTTAAGGGCTTTGGACTCCAAAAGGATTTCCTCCTATTTCTCTTTAGGTCATACTCAAATACTGTCTGTAGCACAAATATGCTGATCTTGTGATGAAAGGATAGGTTATGATGGAGTACTTATTTCAAACTACTTCAAAAAGATCATCACATCAGTAAGGTGGTTGTTCTGCTTATCTCACTTTTTTTTTTCCTCCTCAAGAGCACTTAGCAACTGCTCAAACTGCTATTTACCATGAAGACAAAAAGGTTCTAAATATACTTAAATGTGTGAAACTTGAAATAATGAAGATATTAAGCCCTTCAGTAAAGTTTTTGTAGCTGAAATAGCAGGTCATCCTTTAGCTGTACATTGCAGCAGTGTTTTGGTTTATACCTTATGCCACTAGCAGTAATAAAAGTTACAGCCATTAACCTTCAGCTACTGAGCTTTTCTTCTGACCAGCCACAAAGACATGCACTGTTTACCTTGACAGCAGCCTGGGTTGTGTTAGAGCTATGATCACTTTTAAGTTGCTTCACAGAGAAGCACAGGAAAACATATCCTTTCTCTGCTGTGACTGTCTAGTACTGGAGTAATTTCTTAAATTACAAATTTGAGAAAGGTCTCTAAAGACAGCAGATCTACAATTTAAACAGTTAATCCTACTTTCTCAAAGCTCCTGTCCACATATGCTGTGCCAATACCTCCTTCTTACGTAATCCCCATTTATAAGTCTCTTTGAGAGCTAGAAATTTTACCACTTAAGAATTAAACATACTGCATACATTCTACTGTGTCCATGTTGATGTGCAGTGATGAACGAACCTCCACTGCCTAGTGCACTGACTTTGGCCCTCCCAGGATGTTTCTGTGGCTCAA